GGAATTTTATTGGGAGTCTGAGATTTTCCTTTTTTAATTCTGATTTTTTTCATATCGTAAACAGCATTCTGGTTACAGTAAATCGGTAAGCCAAATTGAACGGTTAATATTTGATATCGTAAATATATATATATCTATCTTTCTTTACATATGTTCAATTTTAACGAAATATTGAATATGTTATATATATGTTTTTATTGCAATTTTTAGTGATAAATGGATTGCGTGTTGTGCAAGTGAAAAATGTTTATTTTATGGAAAACAGTTCAGTTTTTTTCAGTACACTTACAAATCTTTGAAACTTAATAGGCTCCTTCCTATGAATGAAAAACATTAGAAATTGCAAATTTATTTTAGAAAGTTGCAGCAAAAAATCTTTAAAATATTCTCTCTTTAATGTCTCTCTGAAATTTTAAACAAAAATTGAATTTTTTATCAGGGTGTCCCCTGGAAAAACTTGGGTTTCCCTTGCACCTGGAAAATCAAGGAATTTTATTAGGGGTCTGAGATTTTTTTTTTAATTCTGATTTTTTTCATATTGTAAACAGCATTCTGGTTACAGTAAATCGGTAAGCTAAAGCGAATTATTAATATTTGATATTGTAAATATAATATTGAATATGTTATATTATGTTTTTTGTTGCAATTTTTAGTGATAAATGGATTGCGTGTTGTGCAAGTGAAAAATGTTTATTTTATGAAAAAAAGGTTCAATTTTTTTCAGTACACTTACAAATCTTTGAAACTTAATAGGCTCCTTCCTATGAATGGAAAACATTAGAAATGGCAAATTTATTTTAGAAAGTTGCAGCAAAAAATCTTTAAAATATTCTCTCTTTAATGTCTCTCTGAAATTTCAAACAAAAATACTTGGAGGGTTAGAAAATTTTTTTACAAGATTTGATTAGACCGAGGATTAGACCCTCTATTTAATGAACAAAGGAACTTTGTTTTCATATCCAATATTTATAATATTAAATGTGTGCATTTGGCGTGTGTGCACATGTTTTTGAATTTTATTTGTTTTATGTAAAAAAAAATAACGCAATTATTATTGAATTTTAAGACTTGATGATCTTCAAAGCAAGATTGAGCTCCGAAGAATTATTGGAGTGAATCAGAGTTTGTAGAAATATTATTCTTGTACGAAGAATCAGAGTTGCTGAAATATTCTTTTTGCACAAACACTCGATACAATACGATGCGTTCTACTTGCGCTTTTACGCCGTTTCTTTAAATTGCGTCGAGAATGATAATGAAGCTGGGCGATATTGTGTGTGTGTGTGTGTGTGTGATAATGGAAACGAGGGAAAGATAATCTTAAACGCGTGTTGAATCGTTTCTTGTTCCCTTTTACAGAACAATCTTCCGTGAGGAGAAAGTGTTTCGACGATTCTTTAACGGCGATGGTATCGCGTGACGTAATTGTGTCACTAATCGTAACATCAATTTGAAAGATACTGCGTAATCAATTTGTATTAAATATCACTTTAACCCTTCAAGTCTCACTCGACGAATATAAAGTATTTTCAGGAAAAATGAATCATATTATTATTATATTTTTATTATATTTTTATAAATTTCTAATTATTAATTTCTTATAAAAAAATTTTCTGACTCTCCAAATATTTTTATTTAAAATTTCAGAGAGACATTAAAGAGAGAATATTTTAAAGATTTTTTTGGTGCAACTTTCTAAAATAAATTTGCAATTTCTAATGTTTTTTTATTCTAATTATTAATTTTTTTTATAAATTTATTGCGCGAGCAAGAGTCTTCATTTATTAATGTTTATTTTTTCAGATCATTAATATTGCAAAATACTGGTTCGGATGACGAAAAACCTCGCGAAACACTCGCATGTTAAAATATACCGGGTGTCCCTTTTTTTTTTCATTTATTTATTTTTTTTATATTACCAAGAAACTCGACAACGAGAGTTATCGTGTTACGTGGCTTTCACCGCGTTATACATTTGGGCAACGACTCGCTTGAGCTCGGACAACTACCTAAGTCCCTCCTTGAGTGGTGTCGTTGTTTCGTTAGCGGTCTGACGCAATGACGGATAACAGACGCGCGAGGGCTAATGGACTGTGTATACAGTACAAAAACCGAGCGATGCACGCACTCTTTCGACCACAGTACCCCGTTCTCTCAGATTCGTATGATCTCTTGGTTCTTTGCCGAGCAAAGTAAATTTCAGCCCCGCGAGAGAAGCACCGGCCTTTCTCCTCCTCAACAACGAAAATGGCTTGAATTCTAGATATTTATTCGCGTTCCAACGATATACATTTATATACATTTAAGTCTATATAATTCATTGTTTTTAAATTTTATGCAATCAATAATCCCTCACAATAATCTTTAAATTGACACAAATTTTAATTTTAAAGTTAATTTTCTCTCTCAAGTTTTAAAAAAAGTAAGTTAAAATAAATATATTCCTGGACAAAATTAACGCATAATTTTTTTTCACTTTTTCTTTAATATTTTTCGTTAAAATTTAAATATTTTTTAAAGAAAAAATGGAAAAAAATTATGCGTTAATTTTGTGCAGGAGTATAGTATAAATACAACAAAGAGAGATTAATATATATATATATATATATATATATATATTTATATATTTATATATATTTATGTACACTTATATTGTACATATAATAATATTATATACATGTATATAATATTATTATATTGTATATGTTATATATATTGTTATATTATTATATACATGTATATAATATTATTATATTGTACATATAATAATATTATATACATATTTATATACTACATATATTATATAGTATATATACACTTTCTGATTTTTAATCGTAACATTTTTATAAATTATAACATTCCAATCACTTAAAATTTAGGATGTCCTAAATTTTCCATATTCTTCTCATGCATATTTAAATTAATCTGGAATCCTGACAAGAATATCGAAACAATCTATTCTGAGAGGTAGAAATTAAAAATTTTATCAATTGTCATTTGGCATTTTATCCTTTAGTAAAGCTAACATTTTATTTACCAGTTATCTTTTACATTCTTTATAATCGTATCCCGTATTATTTATAACAATTAATCGATATGCAATATATTCGCTGCAATATATTCGCAGTGCTATTTAAAGTAATTTGGTGTCTCTTTTTATCTTCTCTATTGATGCATATTTTCTCCCATCTATCTGTCTTTGTATCATCATCGCGACTGCTGATATCATCGCGTGCCATAACCAGTTTGACAAATCTATACTTTGACGTATAAAAATAACGGTACACATGTGTGTCTAATAAAATCCGATTTTCCGCTCAAATCGAATTATTTGTTTCGTATCTGACGCGATATACATATTATCTTTTATTTCATGAATATCCCGCAAAAATGGGATTGTATATATTTTACGAAAGACACATGCCAATTTGCTTTCGTGTATTTTCGTACACTTTATATTCTGTCGAGTTTCGTTTTATTATCAAGGTGCATAGACTGGGAAATGCATCGTCGCAGTACAATGACGCACATGTCGAAGACAACATGTGGAGTTTCTATGTACAGTTTGAAAGTACAATCGACGCCACACATCTTTCACGCACTTTTCACGGACGTTTTCAGCTGTTGTATTTAGCAAAGTATATTTTATGACGGCACGTATAAAGATAACATGACAGCGCAGTTGCGATAATATTGCAGGATAATGAATCCAAAGTGAAAAAATATAACAATATTCTTCGCATTGAGAAATTTAAATGACACTTGATCTACGTAAATTTGAATAATTAAGAAAATATATTAAAGAATATATTAAAGAAAATACCGCGCGAAATGAAGGAAATAAAGCTGCTTTTCACGTTCCTCCGCGAAACGAGATGATGCTTGAGGAAAAAAAAACAACAAAGGATTTTACTTTGATGAAATTTTGCATCGCAATGACATAGCGTTTCACTCACAGCGTGACATCACTTGAGCGACTCGCATTCGTGTGCGAGATGCGTGTGTGCGGGATACGCAAAAAGCGGAGTCAGTCGTTTCCTCGCATTATCACGTCACGCATAACGCGAACGTCGCGAGGGAAATGCTACCATTGGATGGAAAAGATTAAAGGTCCATTTTACACTTGTCCGTTCATACCACCTATTGATCCTCGGCAAAATCGGACGTGATAAAATCTACATTTCAGGATCGCATATTTGTTAAAAACGTGTCCGTAGATTTGTCCATCTAGGTGCCATTCGTTTCGTTGAAAATTTTATCGCCAACGATGGGACGGTTACAAAAATAAAATAAAAAAGATATTTTATTTCGTCCCTCTTATGGAGTATAATGCAGTATCGGATGCGACACGAAATACAAAACGAGCAAGTGTAAATGGACCTTAAACATCATTTCGCTCGCGCGGACTTGCTTTGTACACGACGCTTTTGTACGGGCATTAGTGAGGCGAGACGAACGCATGAGCGACGATTACCTAAATCGAGTGTGAGATAAAAGCTTCCTCGCAGCCTTTTTAATATCAAAATTACGAAAGTTCAAATTGGTACTGTACGATTGTATTTTTTTAAATTTAAACTACATTAAGTAATCGTATAAGACTTTTGTGGATATTATTTACAAACGATCTGCTCCCAAATTTGCACGTGAAAAAATTTTGTTAGGTAGATATCGATGCGATGTATTTATCTTAATCGTTATAGGACTTTTTTTGCAATATTTGCAAATTTTATAGAATCCAAAATTGACACATATATTTCAATTATTATCAATTTATTATCAATTTATAATATATCTATTGTATTGCACAATTTTATATACAGAGTGCTCCAAAAGCGAGAGAAATTACGAATTGACTATATAATTATTTAAAGATTTTTCAAAGAACCTTATGAAAAAGCGCAGGATAGTTTATAATATTTACAATGTAATATGATGAATAGAACGCGCAGTGACTGCAAAAAAATAAAACATCAATTATTTGTGTTATTTTTTTTTTGTAGATTCGGCACTTTAGGCAACAAGAAGGCTCCAATAGTCATGCCGTACAACAGGGGGAAGTGTCTTCGTCGAATCCTAACATACTGTCCAACGATCAAGTTGGCCCTATCTTACTCGAGGTTCGTATCAATGGAATTAGATAAAGTTAAATTCAGGTTTCATCGTTGGATATTACTAGAGAGTCAGTGTTAAAGAGTTGAAGAGGGAGAATACATCAAAGAGAGATTTTATAAACGGTATTACTTTGCATCATTTTAACAATTACTTTATAATATATTAACTACATTATTTAAAAAATTAGTGTTAATAAATTTAATCATATTTTCTTCCTAGGCACTAGACGGCTTTCTATTTGTTGTAAATACGGAGGGCCGCGTGGAGTACGTTACGGAGAACATAACGCAGTACATAAATTACACGAAGGACGATGTACTCGGAAAGGATATTTACAATATTATTCATCATGGGGATCACAACACCTTTATGCCTAGTTTGTTGCCTTCGTTAGGTATGTATTCTTAACTGTATCACGAACGGTGATACATTCCTTTTCTTAGGGGTAGTAGTATTCGCATAGGGTAGATTAAAGATAAGCGCAATTAGTAGATCATGAATAATTCAAACGATCTCTTCCTCAGTTTTATTTTTCATTTTCTCATTTTTTTATTTCGTCTTTTGTACTTAAAGATAGTTTTCATAAAGTCGAGGAGAAAGACATATTTTTATATTTCTCATGAATTGGGATGTTCCTTTTAATCGTGATTTCAATTGCCTCTGCATTTCATGTACACATATATATTAATTTAATCACAATCTTATATATGTATATAATGTATTTATAAATTTGAAAAAAAAAAGAATTTAAAAAAAAATGGAAGCTAATTGATCAAGATTGTGATTGAACTAATATATATGTATATGAAATGCAGAAGCAGGATGCTTTATAATATCCGCTTTGAAGTTTAATTACACATATATATACATTTTTGAAAAATTTGATGTCACTTCTTTCCTTGAAAAAATATTCAGTTTTTCTTCAAGTTTACTTAACTGAAATTAATTGAAAAAAAACAAGATCTATTTGAATTTTTTGAAATATTATAATTTAATGTTAATATAAATAGATTAATTATATAAAATTTTGTAATCCGTTTTTCAAATTTTTTTTTATAAAAAAATATACTATTTCACCGATAAACGAACAAAATTAAATTGATTTCGAATTAGTGATAGCATAGGAAAACTTCATCAACAAGTAATCCTTTCACGAAACAAACTATATATACTCGAATTCATATATTATAGGCTGGACCAACGAGCCGCAACCTCAGACCAGGAACCGCACTTTCAATTGCCGCTTCTTGGTGAAGCCTCCCGATGATAAGGACGAGACTATGGAAGAGAAGCAACAGCGAATATCGAAGTACGAGTCTATGCAAATCTGTTCTGCTCTTCTGCCCAGTAACACCGATCGTCTGGAGACCGTTGATGTGTCCTCCGAGTCGTCAGACATTGGTCCTTGCGTGATGTGCGTAGCGCGTAGAATACCGCCAAACGAGAAGCCTATTGGTACTTCTGTTGAACAATTCACCGTCAAATTGGATACCACTGGGAAGATTATTGCGATTGACGTCAGTTGGTTATCCCCTGCTTACTCCAAGTACCTAAGCAAGGTAAGGGTGCGTATAACCACATCATATAACTTGATTACTATAACGTTCCAATATACTAATTCAATAATAATTGGATGCTATTATATAAAATAAATAAAATGTTTCCTACAAAGAATTATATTGTGAATATAAGATCAACTTCTTCTTTGCTCTAATTTGTAATAAAAGTTTTTAGAAGATACATATATAAGAGTTTGTTCTTTTTGAAATTTATTTAATATATTTAATAATTATCAAAAATATTTTACATTTTGCGCGAAAATTTATTTTTCTTTTGCTAGAGTATAAAATTAATCATATTTGTCCATCTATTACTCATTTCAATTCTAGATCGAGTAATTAAATATGATGATGATAATTAACAATATATTTTCTTATTATTTTTCGTTCAAAAATTGATTTTAGAAATTTTAAATTATTTTCTATCTTTCTATCTCTCTTACATCGCAGAATTGTTTGAGAAATATATTCATAGAATGTTCTATTGCAGGACCTGATAGGCACAACGATTAAGGATTTGTGCCACCCCCATGATCTCAGTACGCTCACGAAACATTTGAACGATACGTTTCAACTCGGTGAAAGTACGAGCGATGTTTACCGATTGCGCGTTACTCCTGATAAGTTCCTTAAGATTCAAACAAAGTCAAAATTTTTCAAAGCAAGTGTGATGAATGTGCACGATAGCGGCGATTTCATGATGGCTACTAATTCCATCATCGGGTAAGTTTGCACCCTGCTCCCAATACTTATGATTAATGCAAGGACATAAATATATCAAATTCATATATTTTATATTCTCTGATAACTTAATAAATGATTGTTCATTGAAAAGTATATCAAAATTGAGAAGAAATATGAATATTATATGAAAATGAATATTATGTGAAAATAATATCTTAATATCTTCAAGAAAGCAGCTTAATTATTTTTTAATTATTTCTTCTCTAGAGAATGTTGTAAAATTTGCCGTTTTTGTGCATTAAACTAATTAAATTATATGTCTAAAATATATTTTAATAATAGAACGTATTTATGACTATCATATAATAGTTTTGTTATAATACTTTTATGTAGAACTGGTTGTAATACATGCAGAAAATTCTGTTTTAAATATTATTTTTTATTTTCTGTTGTAAAATATTACAGGATATTATTTAGTCATTGAATATTGACGAAAAAGGTATTAAGGAATTAAGTTGATGCAAAGCATTCAATTGCGATGTATATGCTAGTCTTAGAAAGTGAAGGTGTACATCTAAATTTAATTAATAAATATATGTTATTTTATTCTTTATGATAGGGACAATGACTTAATGCCTATCGAGAGTGGTCAGCTTTCCAACAACAAAGTGTGCTCAGGACACCCTAGTAACCGTTGTGCGAATAATAGTAATAATAATAACGGTAACAATAACAATAACGTGGGTGGTCCGCTGATGCCCGTCGCGCATCTGAACGGTCAAGTGAGTGGTATTAGTGCTCGTGGTATGACGGTTTCGCACGCCGCCACATCGTCGAACTCGATCGCCTTTAACACGGGAGATGGTACCGGCGGCGGCAATGCCAGCGGTGGTGGCAGTGATTCATGCAATCCTCTGACGTCGCTGAGCACATCGGGCGGCAATCCGTTCAATCATTTTTCGGGAAACATGGACTTGGAATTCGAGCTTTTCCCTAGTTCCACAGCTTGGGATTTGGATAGTAGTGCTGGATGGGTAGATAGACCGGAATCGAGAGCAAGTGGGCCTTCGAACTCACGACCGTCTTCCCAGCCGGCTCCGACATCACCGAGTCCACAAGGAACTTTCACCAACTCGGCAGCAGTGATATCTCACTGTAGTCCTCTACGAGCGTTCAGTCCGACCTCGGTCAGTACTGTTCATGCCTTCAGTAATTCGTTCCCCTTCAGTCCTCTTCAAGAGACCACGCAAACGTCCACGTTGAGCAATGCCGCCAGCAGTATCAGCACCAATGGTGGCAGTGGTATCGGCAGTAACACCGCTACGACGACTATCAAGCGAACAGAAGAGAGTAACAAGAGCGGATGTCCTACTAGTAACAGTGGTGGTACCATGGACAACACGACGGCGAGGACTAGCGGCGCCGTCGAGACCCAGAATAACAGTACCATATCTACCGAATCTGGTAGACTGCGAAACTTGTTGATCAAAGGGCCGAGTGCTAGCGAAGACAGCCAGGATAATACGAATAATGATTCGGATAATCAGAACAATAACAGAATACTGAAAAATTTGTTGAACCAGCCAGACGAAGACGACTATCATTCGGAGCATAAAGTGCGTACGAGTCCTAGCAACATGCCAAAGCCTAGCATGGAGCACTCCAAGTCGTCACTCGGAAACAATATGCTATTGCAGGTAACTTGATAGTTCCTAATTGATAATTATATAAGTTACAAATTAATAGCTACAAACAAAGCAGAAGAAAATTTAATATAAATTTGACAATTTGAAAACGTTTTGTTTACTATTTTATTCCTTATCCGCTACTATTTATATTCAATTCATTACATTAAGAAAATCAAGAATTAAAATATTGCAATCAAGCAATTAAAAATAATAAATAAAACTTATTACTTTTGATTCCTTGATTGCAATTATTATTTTAATTATATATTTCTTTTTATGAAAAAACTTTAAAAGGTTCGAGATGTGTTCGTTTTTAATTCCTATTGCTTTATCGCTCTCTTTTTTGCATTTTAAGTTACTAAACGAAAAAAATGATGACGAGGACGAGGAGACACGTGCTGGAATGAAGAAAAGAAATGAACTCCTGCAGCAATTGATGAAAGACCAAGACGAAGAAAGAAAGTTACAGGAACAACAGGTACGTTAATTTTGGCAATACCAGTTTATTATTGCACTTTTAGAAGCATTAAGTATTTTAATTAAATTTTCTTATTTTATTTTTATACTAATTTTTAACTTTTGGACAAATTTTTAATTTTGAATATTATTATTTTTATAAGAAATTAAAACAAATATTTTATACAATTTTTTAAATTAAAGTGTTAATATTTGAATATAAATGAGGTTGGCAGCATTCGGGAATAAAAAGAATAATTTAATATAAACTTATTTTCTATATTACCGCAATTTTTTATATCATTATTTTTGTAGGGAATTAAAATGATTATTTTACGTAATTTTTTAAATATATATAACAGTTTTTAACATCTACTTTCCGCATTTTTTAAAACAGATTTAAGGTCAAAACTAAACGACTGGTAGAAAAGTTGTATATGGAGTATACGACGAGATAATCTTATAGTAGGGGAAATATTAAATTCGAGTCTGATACAATCTTGATTTTTCTTTTCTTTTTCTTCAATACGTCTTAGCTATAAGTGTAGGTGGGGATAAAACTTTAGAGGGTGATAATAAGAATGAACTCTTGTTTTGTAGAATCGGGAAGACGATTCTCTCTTGCGGAGTCTTGGATTTCGGAATACTACGCCGTCGCCATCGCAATCGAGTGATCACGTGGCTCTTAGCAGCGCGACTCAGGTAGGCCAGAAGAGACCAGGAGAGGACGGCGATTTGAATGTGGCTGTGAAACGACCTGTGGACGGCTCGCATCAAGTATCTTCTTCAGGAACGAGCTCCTCGAGTAACGCGACGAGCAAGAGTCTTCTTTGGGAGAAGAACAAGATGCTGGCATCTTTGTTAGCGAAAAATCCGCCGCAAACAACGAACGTACCAACGAAGCTGCCCGCATCTGTGATATCAGCAACGCCGCAGGTATTAAATCTGATAATAAAATATTTCTGATAGAATCTCATGATTATATAATATAAAGAATTTCATAATAAGAGTTTCAATTAGAATTTTAGGTCAATTTGCAACTAATTTCTAACAGTAATAAAAAATATGTACTAATCTCCACATACCTTTCTTGTATTTATTAATAATCATTATGCTTGCTACATTATCTATACTAATATAAAAGGAATAGTATTATATTCTCCTATTTAGAGGTTCTGAAATTAGAGTAAATTTTTTATTGATTGATCGAAATTATGTTTATCAGAAGTAGCGGAAATTAATTATAATTATTGAAAATTTTAGCGTTCTAATTATAAACATAATAATATAAACTATACATATCCCATAGTATTTTAAGCAGTTGATACGTTAAAAATTGAAAGAGAGTATATTTTTAATCGATTTATTTCTTTTTAATTCAATTAAATATAGAAAACTCGTAGAACCTGATAATTCTCCAAATGTTCATAAGAATCTTCCAAATTTCTATACAATTAAAAAAAAAAATGATTTCTCGCTTCTGACATTTAGTCATGCAGTAACTAATTAATAATCTTGAAATAAAGAATACAGAATACAAAAAATATTAAATAAAACTCTTAAAAATGATAATTACAATCAAATTTTTATTTATTATTAACTAATTTATATGTATATATTTATGTATGTATGTATGTATGTATAATATTATTTTATTAATTTTAGGACAAACTGCCTCGTTTGACAAAACAACAACAGCAGCAACAACAGCAGCAGCAGCAGCAACAACAACAACAACAACAACAACAACAACAGCCACAACAACAACAGCCTTGGACTGGTGGCAGTATGCAAGTTGGTAGTGGTAATAACACGATTACGACAACTGCGACGTCGGCGCGTCCTCTTCAAAGTCAGTCGAGACAACTACCTCGTCAATCAGCCAATACCTACCTCAGTCATATACTAAGTCAAGTAAGTGCGATTTAATTTAATATATGAAATATTGAATTGTAGAATAAAAATGCATTAGATTCTATCTGTGTTCCGTTTATGTGAATAAAAATGTACGTACAACAATAGAGTCATTCCGTACATTATTGCGAATAATCACTGAATATTATTTTAAGCAATATTTTATATTTTAAATGTATCTTTTTTTTTTACAGCAACAAAGCAGGCCCCAAATGGGACCAACTGAGTCCGAATTTCCAGGTAGTGGAGAGTACCGTCAAACTAGCACCGATCCAACTACTTGGGATAATCAGTCATCAGATCCGGATCTTTCCGAAATTTTAGATCAAGTGATAGATTTTGTCCCGGATGAACCTAATGCGGGTAATTATAATGATTAAAATACTAAATAATCATTTTTTTTTAATTGATTTTTTTATGATTCATAAAACTTTGACAAACTACTTGTTGCAATTTAAAATTGGACATCTTAAATATATATGTAAAACTTTCGCTGTCACACAAATTAAACAATTTTAAATCTGTTTTGATAATTTTGATAACTCGACAGGTTTATTATTTGTAACATGATTCGACTTGTAAGCAACGATACATTTGAATAATTGTGCGAATGCTCTTACAATAATCAGCTCTCTGCAAGGAGCATAATGCAATTAAGATGTGGCAGCGAAAGTAATTGTATCATTATAAAAAGATTATATTTTTTATTTAATAGATACGTCTCCGATAGCGAATCTCCTAAATCCCCTTATCGAAGCGCCTCAGAACGTTCTGAACGAGAAAATGGCAATTAACGCTATCCAGAAGTCGTTGATGTTATGCGAGACTGCCGTGAATCCAACGTCTTCCACCATAACTATGCCTGGTACTCCACCAGCCTATTCCACTGCGGTAAGTTTCCTTTTTCTGAATTAAGCCTTTAATTTTACATTTTTCAATTTATCTTGTCTTACAGAATAATGTGCATCAAATGACGAATTATTAAATTTTATTTTAGTTGGGTACTGCGCCTGTGACAACTAGTCACAGTTACCAACCACCTCCAATGTACCAACAGTCCAGAATCAGGTTCACTCAGCCAGGCGTTAGACAGACCAGTCAATTTACGCAACAACAATTGCAATTACAACAACAACAACAACGTTCGAAGCAGCATCTTCTGCAGCAGCACCAGCAGCAGCAACATCAACAGGAGCAAATGAAACAACGATTATTGCAACAACAAAAACAGCAGCAAATGGTTATCCCGTCGAACGCCACCGCGACGGATCAAATCAATAGCAGTATTCATAACATCGATAATCTTCTGAACAATACTGTTGCACCACCAAATGTATCGTTGCAGGTATGTAGTTTATTACAGAAGTGCGTGAAATATACTAAATCTAATGAAATATCCGATTGCCACGCTTTGCGTTAAAAATTCGTGAAATATACTAAAATAATCGAATGTATAATTTTTTTTGTTCAGCGATCGAGTGTCCCAGATTCGCAAATCTCTCCAGGATATGGGGGATCCGTCCAGATGGCTTCTACTCATCGACTCGCTCACTCGTATTCCCATCCGTCAACGATGCCGCAACAGTAAGTATTCCATAACGTTTGAACGTATAATTATACATATAAAAATCTCTCGCTGTATACGTATATATGGATTCTTTCTTTTATAGTCCCATTGTGAATAACAACTTCAACAGTGGGCAACAAGTGTCCGCCCCAGCGAGACTCTCGCCGCATTCTCCAGCCGGTATACTGCCGTTCTCTCATCCACAACCACTATCGCCACGGGTGACGCAAGTGAGTGCGAACATATTATTACTTTATCAGATCGGCACAAGAACAGAAAGGTATATTTGTATACCAACTGTTTTTATAAATATTAATTAAAATTAGTTGAAAATTAGCTGATTTTCCGTTTCATTCAAAGGATAGAATTATAAATAAATAAAGAACTTAAACTAATATTTAAGCAAATGGTACGTTAGGTAAATGTCAGACATATATATAAGTATTAATACGATGTGCAAAAATTATCTAGAACTATCATTTTCAGTTTTTTTTTTATCGTTATTTTGATTTTCATTATTTCTCTAGCAATATTTCCGCGTGTTCCTTTAATTTTTAGTATATTTAATCGTAATATATGCGCTAGGGCAATTATGGCAACACACCGAGATTATTCAATCAGGTGAGGCCGCAGCAGCAGGTCACAGCGCAACAACAGTTGCAGCAGCAGCAGCGATCGATGCCATCGCCGGGAACGCCAGCATCTGCGCGGCAATCGCCGTTTCCTACCGAAACGTTTCCTCCACCGACGTCCCCCACGGCCAGTCAGTTTACACCGGGTCCTACAACCGGTGCGCCCAACCCGTCAGCTCAGTATCGGCTGCAACGAGCCACGTCCACGCCTTCTGCTACAACTCAATTGCCAGGTACGTATTCTCATACGATTTCTCACATTAATAGACTGCGTTGGATTTCAAATGATCCAGTTATTAGGCGTGCGATAATAGGTAGATAAGATTATCATTAGTCAAGATAATCAAATGTATATACAAAATTTAGTATCTTTTCTATTCTGATATTATTAAATAATAGAAAATGATATTATTAAACGATAGAAAGTGATATATATTTGATTATTAAATAATATAAAATGATATATTTGAATATTTTACATACTGTTAAGTAGGAATGAAGCGTAATGACTAAGGGATTTTACATCATGTACGCGCGCATTGCGAAAAAAATGCGATAAACTCTATACATCTAATTGTAAGATTAGAGATAAGCGTCGTCGAAAAGTCGTTTTACCATGTTTAACATGTATTTTTAACTATATCTATTAACTAATTTGAATACGTTGAATTTGGTGACTTGAAGAGAGAACTCTGCATGGCAATTTCAAGAAAATTACTATGTAGTTGTTCAGAATGAATTGTGTTATTACAGCTTTGTTCCATTGCATAAGATATAATTTTTAACATTGGTAAATCGGCTTGTACATAAAATTAATAGGAATGTTATATTAATTATAATAATTATATAAGCCGTGCCGTGTAATTATCATTTCCTTTTACTTATTAATAAGCGCGAAATTTGTTGTAAACATGCGGTTTTTAACGTGTTTAAATTCGTCAAGATCAATTTCCCTTGTTTCGGATAGTAAAGATATCCTAGATTAGGACGTACATACTAGTTTTTATGGAAGATGATCGAGTTGATTTTCGATACAAAACCGGTTTTATTATACGCGCGATGGAAGATGTGATCGAAATATACAAAAGACTTTGAGATGGGTAAGTATGTACAGATTAAGATTAACTTTGTTTAATCTATTGAACATTGTGGAAGCGCCATATGTAGATTAGTCGGGTATGCGCATAGATTTATTAGTATCTTTTTATGCCTGTATATCTCTCGATGTTTTTCTGTAAATAGAATTGTGTGATATTGTGTCATACGAATCCTTTATAGAAGGGAAAAGGATATCGTAATTCTGAGTAATGTAGCAAATTTTTTGCATAATCTGATTTATAATCTTTGAATATGATTGGCCCATGGTGTGTTACACTAGAAATAATTGCGACGCTTTGTTATCTCTCTTATTATCTCTAATTTTCTTATTTGTCTTATATATCGCAAACACAAAGTTACATAAATTTCTTTTTTTCATTCGCATAATTTAAATTTCTTTTTTAGAATAGATTTAAAATAATAATTAACATGAGAAATTTAAAATTTAGCATATTTTAAAAATTGAATAAGACTAATTTATAAAATAATTCTTTTTAAATTGAGATTTACAACATTACACGTAGTAATGTTAATTTTGATTAATTTCTCATATATATGACTTTATTTAAAGAAAACAGAGATTTTTTTATAAATGCTAGAAAAAAACTATTACAAAGGCATTTTCGATTCGAAAGGCATTCACGTAATCGTGTCTAATTATAAAGAGCCATTTTGTCTATTTATATATTTACTTGCAATCGTTTGCAAGAAATATCAAACGAAAATAGCATCGTCAGATAAATTGAAAGATTTATACGCAAGTTAAAGACTCTTGAAAGTTTTATTTATTTAGCATACTTGCTTGTAGCTTTCAGCTGGCAGAACCGAGATTCGCTTTCCGGAGGTACATTATTCAAAGTCGGTGCGTGCTGTTTAATTAATCAATTAATTTAACGTATAGATTTCGATCTCGATATTATGTGCGTGATTATTGACAGCGAACGTTGGCATGATATATGCGAAATAGAAGCGTTATTTGTTAAAGCTGGCCGAGGACAACCCGGGCTATACACGATTGATGTTACAGGTGGAATCGGCTCGCCTCGGCACTACGGCGGAATAAGTAAGGAACCGCTTCTTTCACCTAGTCATTCACACTCGGCTTGCCCGGCAACACCTACTCACAATCAACACACCAATACACAACACTTCTCCAGTCAACAACATACCCCATTGCTATACCAACAACACACCAACGCCAACACTCTCAACACGGCAGACATGCAGAACAGTCAGTTCTGTTACGATCGCTCGTCAGTCCCGCTCTATCCGTCTGGCGGGGAGGCGCAGGATGCCAGGTCACTGCCTCCCGGTAATCCTGTCAATCACCAACTGGGTGGTAAGTCATATGACTTTTTAATGTCATGTGACAATTCATTATCATTATCACACCCTGCTACTTCGTTAATAAACTGTAATTATCACTATTACCATACCAGCACCTCAATTACCAATATCACTATCGCCACCAACCACAGCGAAAACAGCAACAGGCGCAAAAAACGATCTAATGCATGAATTGGGCTCATGGCAACTCTCTTTCATGTTCTCTCTTCCCATTTTCACTTTTTTCTTTTTTTTTACAACATCTATTTAGACCTCCACGATATAAATATTATATTTGAATATTCATTCATCTCTCTATCTGTTACATCTTCTAATGTGCTTAAATAATCCCTTCCTAAAAACACCATGTGCCCAATAATGTTTTAAATCAAAGTCCTTTCAAATGTATTTATTAAGTTACATTGTGTATTCTTTAATAAACTTGTACGTTTAAATAAAATAAATTATGCTCTCTTTCGCGAACCTGATTGATATTTCAATACGCTGTGCGCATAACAAAAATTTGTAAATACATATTTTTGTTAGAAGAAAACATAAATTAAAATACAAAAAATAAAACATATAATAACAGTCACATTTATTAGGCACAAATTCATAAAAATCATGACTATGTCCCAGTTACTTGAAGAAGTTACTTTTATGCATTTAAACATAATCTAGCTTTCTATAAATATAGAATTATATGTTAAATGTTGCATGTAATGCTTTCAATTATTCATCAAATGTTTAACTAATGATAATGTTGCTCATCATATTTCATATTTTCGACATACCATTTCTTAGAAAAAAATTATTTGTATACACATGTACACGGACACGATCAGATTCAGCGCGCTATATATTTGTGCACCTTTAATATTAGAAATATAAAGTGACATAGATAGATGTGATTTTAGAAATATAGATAAACCTTTGCATTAATGTACTTTCTCTAAGGTACTTTAAACCTTTACATTAATGTACTTTCTTTCTTTATATATTTTTATTTGTTAAGAGGTCAAAAATATGAAGAGAGAAATTTCACTAGGTTAATGTAAATTAATGTAATGGTAAAAATTGATGTAAATGCAATTAATGTAAAGGTTTACTAGATCCCTAATGTCAATCACATTGCACCGAAGTTGATCAAATTTCGAATAATTCAATCGACAAAAACGTATAACTCTTATATTACGAACTTTTTACTATACGAAATCATTATACACGAAATTGTGACTTTGCTATTTTGAGAAAATTTACTATTCATGTTATTTCTCTAATTTTTTTTATTAAATAAAATTGTTGAAAGCAATGTTATTATAATTAGTATAATAACGTTGATAATCGAACATTGCAAATGCCATTATCGTCCACGTATCTCATCGTATAATCACAGATAATTTTGCTTTAACAATGTCAAAGTTTCCGACACGAAATTGCGTTATATTATATTCGGCTATATCTTATTGTGATTATAGTTAGGAAATATATGTAGTCCTTTAATCTTGGACTCATCGGCATCGAGCAAATCTTCTATAGTCGAACTCTCCTAATCTCAACTCAAATAAACGTGGTGAGAATAGACGGAAAACGCCACAAGCTGTAAATATAAAGAAAAGAAAAAGGCGTAAAAAAAAAAGAAGAAAAATAATGGTAGTATATTCATCTTTTTCTAACATAATAGAATGCAGGCAGCAAGAATTGCATTCATTGGCAGAGAAAAAAATCTATTATTTTCTCTCTTTTTTTTTTTTTGACCTGAATTTTTGTCACTATTCTTTGTCACTTTCTTGATTTGGAAAGAATAGACCGCTCGGTCTTCTTACTGTGAACAGGCAAATTTTCTAGAGATTCAAATCCTCCTAATCTCAATTCTTGAAACTAACAACCTATCATGCTCCTTCATAATTTTATTTTCATTTTATGCACACGATCAAATGGCAAGTATAAAATAATGAAGGAGCGCGAGAAAAGAAATTTACTATATGTTTTATTTAATTGAGAACAAAGATTGATATTAGAAGAGTCCGACTGTAATATTGTCGTAGTGTGCAAAGCGTATTTATAAATTAAAAATACCGTAGCATAAGCTTGCATTAGAATTTTAATGACATTGACGCTATTAAAGCATTTTCAGGAATGTGGAAGGAAGGGCAACAGTATATTTTTCGTATATCTTTCTTGCGAGGCGCAGGAAGCGCTTAAAATGGCAAATATGATGTCGAATTTACTCCATCTTGAATCATCATTTTCTCATTGTCACACATGTTGTGTTCATCTGTGTAATATAACATTTCAATGTAAAAAAATGAATTCAAGCACCGCTTATTTCTACGCGCTGTGGAAACATTTACTAACACGACGAAGCCTTTTTATGTACAGTGCATCGAGCTTACGTGATTAATATTTTTATATTTTGCGCATCAGCCCCTTCTCATCGATCTCTATCATAATGTATGCACCACTTGTCTTGTAAAGGATTTCGTCATATGCAATTTTTATATCTAGTATATAGGATGGCCTCGAGGTACATCGTGTATTTTCTCTTAATTACAGAGGCAAAAAAATAGAATATTATTTACAAAGAAAAAAATAATCCCTCTGTAATGTACAATATACAAGATAGAAAAATCGAGCTAATAAAAGCCAACGCACGGTAATCAAAATCCTGGAAGCATGTGAGATAATTTTTTTTCAACATCAAACTCGTCACAATTTCTATATGTGTTAAAATTCAAAATTGTATCGTTTTTCCTTTTTACCTTTGACTGGTTTTATTCTTCATTTTATCCTCGCATGTGATTATTGCTGACTTGTGATTATTGCTGACTATCTGAAGAGAGGACTGAATTATTATTCGATTTCAATTATTATATTCGTAATTGTGTGCCAAGAGAAATATATAATAATTTACATCCCAAGCACCGCGCATTGGCTTTTTATTAGCACGAGAGAAATTTGTTAATTTTGTATATAAAATGTTATTTATTTTTTTATTGTTGACACATTAATATTCTTGTAGGTCTATATATATTATTATAATTATAAATAATTAAATATAAATAATAAATATAAATATAAATAATATAAATAATAAAATATTATTTATATTATATATTTTAACAGAATTTTAGTTTTATATTTGATTATCAAAATACATTGTCTTCTATTGTTATTAGAAAACGGTCGTTGTCTCAAAGTTCGCACTAGACAAAGATGTAGCTTGCTATAATATATCGCAGTTTTCTTTTTCTATAGGGTGTTTCTATTTAGTAACACGTGTTGATTCCTTTCGAATCCGTTCGCTTAAACCGGCTCCGCTCTTTTCAAAACAAATAATTCATCGCATGTAATAAAGGACTCTAGGATAAAATAAAATAAGAAGAAAATCATATTTTAAAATTTTCTTCTTCGATATCGAATAATGTTGATCGCTTGCTCAAAAATAAGAATATAACTCATAATCTCACTTGGAAGACACTGTATTTAAGTTAAAAAAATGTTTTTTTTTAAAAATGAAATTAAATCAATGTGAACATAAATTCTAATTTTTATCAAAAAGAAAAAATCGATCTATATTCAGAAAAAATACACGATGTAGATATTTTTTTAATATCTTGTTGAACGACAAATAAAGTCATCTCTATTTTCAATCGAAAAAATTAAATTTATCATATAAAGTGTATTTATTTTACTTATATTCTGAGATATTGTCACAAAATTTTTATGCCATATAATTTTTTTGTATTGTGACAATAGTTGAGTAAAATTTCGTAAACTCTTAATGTAATCTTTCGTCCAATCGATATATATTTTTAAGATCATCAGCAGCATAGGTAGAAATTGAAAAGTGCGACGTACGAGGAGAGAAACACGATATGTAATTGCCATGACGATTTGCTCATAAAAATTTTTCTTATTGTCTCAGGTAATGCCAGCACCTCGGAATTTGTGCGGCAAGAATTGCGGGCAATTGTCGGTGCGCGAACGCAACAGCAGCAGCAGCAACAGAGAGTGCCGAACAACCTACAGAACAATCTTTCTGGTCAAGTTTCTCAGGATGATCTTGAAGCACTTGGTCTGACGTTCGAGATGTCTTCTGCAGGTATGTGTGCATCATATACGTCTGCATTCCAAAATTATATCCAAGTTGTATAAAAAAATGATTAGCTATACGGCTGAATTTGTTTGAAAGATCACCAGCAAAGAACTGAGGATTTTGGAAAAATTAAATTTTTCTATTAATATGTAGTTAATAATTAATATTTAATTTTATATTTAATATTTTTTTCTCGATGCGCGATGACAGTTGTGCATTGTTTGGAATTAGAATAGGAATAATCGCAATTTTGATTATCGCGTTTTTGATAGAAATATATAATTTGAGATATTTAATTAGAAATATTTAATTTGTAAATAATTATAAACAGCAAATTATTATATGCTGTAGATAGTACGAATTATATTTTTGCGATATTTTTGCGATATTACAAATGTGACACAAGTAACAATTACTTATTTGCAAAATGTGAGATTTCATAGTACGTTTTAAATTTTAAGCGTACACGAAGCATAGAAATTCCGATTATTCGAAGATTTACCGTCGCGATAAGGCAAGATAAATTTAATAAGTATGCATTCAATAAGTTTGCATTTCTGTGCATTTCTGTGCACAGAGAAGCATCATCTCTTTATTTATTTTTCTCCTTGAATTTTATCGAACCACAATCTCTCGCAGCTTCAATACATATTGTAATTCCACAGTCTTGATTTTCTCGCATATGACATGAATTTCACGAGTGAATACTGTGAAAAAGTATTACAGGCAATTGTGTATAGTTTTCCCCCTCGTAGATCATGCACATTTTTTCTAGATCTGTTATCGCACGCGGTTATTACAACTAATTACACTTATACAACGCATCTCCCTCAGATTCCATATTTCTCTCTTTTCATGAGATTTATATAGAAATTATAAATTGCAAATATGTATAAAAATTTTTATGAATTTTTTATGAATTTTTTTAAAAATAATTTTGAATGCGAAGACTTATCTTTTAAATAAAATTTTATTTTTTACATCTTTGAAATAAAAGTGAATTAGAAAATACTGTTTCTGTCTTATTGAATTTTGGCAAAGATATGATTATGCTGTAAAAAAATATTTAATGCAAATGATACGAATGGGGAAAAATTTTATCGAGTAGATCTCGAAAGTCTCGAAAGTTTTTGTATCGAAAGCAGACTTATTGTTCCTTATCGGAGCAAATATTAAGATCTTAACGCGATAATCTAATGTTTGCGTTGCTTGGCGCTTCGATAGATCTTTCACGAGAGGCAAAAGCGAGGCCTCGATCGAGATTGAGAAATTATCAATGCATAAATCGAGACACGTGTAATCAGCACGTGCGTTCCTGATTCATTACGCGTAATCTCTCGCTTCTTATAAAAAGAGGCATAATATCTTATTCTACAAAGATTGTGGTAACATCTACTGTTACGATGTCCCAACTAGGTGAGGCTGTGGTTAGCGATGGCCCCGCCAAGAGTTGGGCCATTGGGAGCGCCGGAAGTGCCCCCTCGTCCTCCAGGGTAAGAACCCCACATTCCGACAATATAATTACTTTTACATAATTTTTTGATTTTGTTATGCTATGTCTTCCCTCTATACGCTTGGCTTCAGAACTGATTGTGCACGAAACATGTTTAATGATCTCTCTCTATATTATGCGCACTGAGCGTAAAACTTGTGTAGGGGATTATACTTACTTTTTTTTTCATTAATTTTGTAATTTAGCGCTCTCTTTATACATGCATGTGCAGGTCATCATTTGATGGCCAATATCTCGGCATTATTGTATATTGTTACTCCCATAAATAATGATTCTTTCATAAGTAATGATTTTCTGTAATAGCGGTAGTAGAAAATTTAATTTCATGTATGCTAGAGTAGAATTTTTACTTTATAGAATTAAAATTTATTCTGAAAATATAATTGAATTAGGGAGAATTTATGAACTTTATTTGGCAAAATTTAAGAATTTATATTTCATTTCTATTAGGGATTGGCTTCATAGTTATAGAATTTATTCTTACTTTTCTTTTTCTTTTCTGTTATTTTATTTCTCGTTGATCAAATTAAAATAAAAAAATATTTTTTAAATCATGTGGAGAAAGATAGTTTACATACAATATTAAAGGTACATTTTAATGGATTTATATTTCCATTTCTTTACATACAATATTAAAGGTATATTTTAATGAATTTATTTCTATTTCTTTACATTTTTATTTAGATAAAGAAATAAAGAGAACAGGAAAGAATTAAATATTTAATTGCATAGAAATAATTTTTTTTATTTATGTTAATTTATCTATATTTATATTTTTTATAAGAGGACTTTTGTTGAATGAATTTTCATGTTTTCATTTAACATTAATTGTTTTATTGGGTCTTTTAATTATTCCATAGACTTTTAAAATTAAAAATTATAAATTATAAGACTAAAAATTATATGTCATTTTTATATTAATTTATAAGAATTATTAAAGTTTATCTTCATATGTAAACTGAATTATTATGTAATCCTTTTTACAATTTTTTAAAGTCCTTTTTAAAGTATTTTTATATAGATAAAGATAAAAATATTTATTTTTTACATAAATAAATTTTTTTTCTATTAAATTCTATTAAGAAATACTGGCACTTTGTTTTACAAAGATCTATCAAATATAAATTGAAGACATTTAAGTTTTACACTCAGTGTTTTACGCCCATGAAAAACGCTGTTTTCTTTTACGTAGCTACATTAAGTAAACTGATTTTATTATCACACCAAGTGAACTTTTGTTCGAGGTGTATTTCATTAAGGCGCATTAGCTAAACATATTAATTGCCTTTGCATAACGTAGCGCGTTCATAAGTGCATTTTGCGTAAAAATTAATTATACTTCTCGCGCTAGATTAACTACGAATAATTTTTTTAAATTTTCGTTTTTCTTCATGCAAACGTACGGCTGATGTAGCGTCAGCAGTATAATATTCCGCTAATCAGATGATCTTTTATAGAAAATAATTGGTAGTATTTTAACTATTAATTACAGCAATATAAAAATATATGCAAAAATTTTATACGGTTGTCAAATTACACAATACTTAAATTTTTTTTACTATGTATCAAATTTCCGATGTATTTTTGTTACTATAAATAATCGAAGAAACACATCTTTATTATTATTATTTTATGTATTAGAATCGGAATTAAAAATTAATTGATATAATCTTATTTCCCTTTAATTTCATGCGAATATATTACTCTTTAATATATTTTTAATTTAAAATTCAATTAAAACAAGATCTAATTAATCTTAGTAGCTTTAAAATTTGAGAGAAATAATAATATTCACGTTAAACTCTTTTTTTTTTTAAATTTAAATTCTGAATTAGACAAATTTATTTATATTTTTTGTAAATAAAATATTTATTATATTAAATACAATTTTAGAGATCATATATTGTGTAAAATAACACGTTGTCAAATTTTTATTTTACAACTTATAAAAAGTTATATATAATTGTTTCTCTTTTATTTCAATATTATTAAATTAATTTAAATTGTTTTAATCAATATAATTTAATCAATATGATGAATACTATTACATATTATATCGTATTTAAAATATATATGTATGAAAGAATAAAAGAATAATTTAAATGTATGTTAATTATGTTAAATATATGAAGGAAATCATATATATTTTTTTAGAAGCACATTGGATTTTTTATCTTTTGACTTTATTTTTAATTTTAAGATTTCAGAGCGCTATGCATTCATACGTATTAAGCATTCATATAATATCAGTGCCAAGTAAAATGTCTTCTTTCGTATCTATAGGGTGATGGTGTTGTAAGCTTCAGCTCATTCAGAGTAATTAGTAATCGTACTACCATTTGTTGCATTGTATAACGTGCGTCTAGTATCGTAATGCTTTTTCACAGTGAGCCAATTAGATATCTGCGCGTTGTACTTAATTTTTTTTCGAGAACGATTGTTTTTATGCATGAGGAGATTAGTGCTACAGAAAGAGATGTATCTAGGAAAACTATCTAATTTCAAATTTATATGAATCTTTAAGTATATATATATATTCTTTAGATTAAATATATTTAAATATATTTATATATATATTCTTTATATTAAATAAATAAATATATATATAGTACAATATATATAGTACAATTATTTGAAAAGAAAACAGAAAACAGAAAAAGAAAACATATGAACGCGTGATTATATGTCAGTAGATTTCAATATAGCTCTTTTTTAACAATTTTCGTATAAAATAAATGCTTCTACGGTAACAGAGTTTTCGTGTAAATTATATGCAAATAGTTAAAAAACTTCTTTAAGTCTAGAAAATATTGATAATATAATATTAAAATGCAATATTATTTTAATATAGTACAAATTTATATTACTATGCTTATAATATTAATATTACTATACTTATAATAAATATTTATTAATATAAAATTTAAGAAATTTTTGTATTATATCTGATTAAAAATGAAACAATTATAAAATAATTAATCTTACGGGATATTTACTTTGTAAAGAGACAAGGATTTATTTTTTATTTATATTCATGATCGTGAGGAACATATTCAAAATTAACGAAGCATTGTTTGATCGAAAAATTTTGCTGCCATAGCAGCCATTATCATGCATTGAGATATTGAATGTGTAGTTGCTATGTTGCTTTAATACGGTTTTATTCTTTTTTATATCAAGATGAAATATTATTTGAATATATCTACATCTCATTGAAAGTATCCATGCATCTGAATACTAAAGATATGGGCATTCGGATGCATTCTTGTGTAATTTTATGAAAATCTAAATAGTTGTTCTATAAAAATATAGACAAATATGAAAATTTACATACTTGAAGATATCAATGTTTATGTACGATAGAAAAAAATGCAATAGATTGTTTAACTATTAGAATAATTTCAAACCGATTGTCAGAGATATTGTCCGTTATAGAGATTAACTCCTTGAATTTATAGATCTTTTACAAGATCTATAAATTCAAGGAGTTAATCTCTAGAGAGAGATTTGCAAATCTACAATTTTAATCAATTTCGGGATTAAAGGATCTTTGGCTTTAATATATTTTGAATTCTTTCATCTGTTTTCTTATAGACATATATAATTAAATTCACAGATTCCGATTACCAGAAATATCTGCTTTAATAAATACTCTTGGTGCCATAAATTCTTAATTGTAAAAGGTTTTAGATTTATATATCTCGATATTATAGATCTTTGATAGTAAGATTTTCCATTTTATTAAACGATTTTATAAATTTTTCAATGTTATAAATTCTTGATTTTAACGAATTGATTTTCTTAAATTTTTGATATCACACGTTACTAGTTTCGCGAATCATTTTGATTAAAAATTCATAAATTGTTGGTATATCTAAAGTAATTTCAGGATATTTTGATATCAGCCATTCAAATCTCAGTGTCAGAAATCTTGTAGTAATTTTACAAACATTCCATTGTTCTGTACATTTCTCTTCGCGATCGGTTTTGAAATTTATATTGACATATAATGCAACGAAAAAAAAAGTAATAATAAATAAATAAATTTAAAGAAATGAAAGCGCAGTTCTCACGAAACCATTTGATTTCAGACTACTATGGAGGAGGTGGCACGAGGTGATTCAAAGTCGTCGTTGCTGCAGAAGCTACTGTCCGAGTGACTGCAGGCCACCATCCCGTCATGCAGTAAAAGATTATATGTAATATATGTTTGAGTGTGTGCGGAGATCGAAACGGAGATGTAGAACGTAAAAACGTGGAAGAGTGCGAGAGAAAGGGCGAGAGAGAGAGAGAGAGAGAGAGAGAGAGGGAGAGAGAAAAAAATGTGTGAGAGAAAGAGGATTATAAGATGCATATACACTCTTATACGTAATGGATACTATTGTATTATATGTAACGCCATACACGGAGTCAGTATTCATATACGTATCACCAAATACAATGCAAAACTAGCGTGCGGTGCTCTCTAGAATGTTGCCCGTCGATCAAGCGAGGAGAAAAGGGACGAGCGAGCGAGAGAGAAAGAGGGAGGGAGATAAAAAGGAGAGTTAGAAATAGAAATGGATAGATATATATATACATATATAAAGAAAGATAGAGAAAAAGGGAGGGAACAGCGGGACTTTTTCCCTTTCCTTTTACTTTTCGAACTCGAAGGACCAAAAGTTTTCGTTTTTGTTTGGCTGTGTAAAGATTTCCTGGATCGGTACGTGTGTCACCAGGGAATATCGAGGTCGCGCGACATATCGCGACACGGAAAGAATTGATTCGCGACGTTTATTTCTTTGTTCTTGTTTGTTTTTTTTTTTTTTGTTTTTTTGAAAAGAATCTTTCTCTCGTCGAACTCTCATCCCGATTTAAGATGAACGGAGATAAGTTGTATACTGAGATATACGCTAGGACGATCGCAGGCATAAGGACGATAAGCCCACATCCGCATTTTACCTGTCGATAGATGTGAGTATGTGTATGTATGTTATATTTGTGTGTGCGCGCGTGTGTGTGAGCGTGTGTGCATGTTACGTTCTCCGTCAGTATTGTATTTGGTATATCAACAAGGGCGGAAAACTGGGGAGAGGAAACTATATATAGGTACCTCAAAAAAAAGGTATACTTTACTATACCACTGGCTGTTGAAGATAGAGATATACTATTTATAGGATTTAATTATTCTACACAGAGAGGAAAGAAAGAAATAGAGCACTCTATTCACGTATTCTCCTTAATTTAACATCCTTTCGACTATTACATTTATGAATAATATATTTGTGATTGTAAGAAAATCTGCAACCAAAATGTGACAAAGAATACTTGTTGTTGTGTTAATATGATTATAACTATTATTATATATTAATAACTATTAATTATTTTATTTTATTTTATTATTATTAATATTATTATTATTATTATTATTATTATTATTATTATTATTATTATTATTATTATTATTATTATTATTATCGACATTATTATTATCACTATTACCAATATTCTTGTTGCAATTACTATATTATTATATAATGGTAAGGATAATTATTATATTATTATTTTATTATATATCAATATTGATATTATTGAACACATGGAATATTCATATTTCTATTCAATAGTAAGAGTACCTTTATATATATAAATATAAATATAAATATATATTGTATAAATGTATATGTATATATATGTATAGTGGGTTTATGTACGTGTTATATATAAATAATAGGAGCGGATATTATTTATATATAATCGATATATAAATTGACGTATATTTATATATCTATACATGCGAGAGACGAAGGAAGAAAGAAAGAAAGAAAAGAGGAAATCGATCTTCTATTTTGCATAGCTCGGTAATAATTCTCTTTTGGGTCTTAGATGCACACTAAATTACTTCTAAACGACACACACACACATTTGTTGTTATATAAATGAGAGAGAAAAAAAAAAAGAAATCTTCTAATTGACATCTACACGTGTATATGCACACGATGCTACGCGTGTGTATGTGCGTATACGCGTGTATACATACATATGAAAGAAATCTCACGCAAGTGTCTTATTTTTCCAGGAACTTCACCACACCTATTAAAAGTTGGAAGAAATCGCTACTAGAGGTTTTTGAATGTATGTGACGATGGTCTCGCGGGTATAAACGCGAATAGAACGAGATATGTCGGCGATACTTTAATTTTTTTTTTTTTGCATTGTTGAAAATTTGCTTGCTGCGCGAGTATAATGGGGAAAACGTTTCTCTTTTCCGTTTCGTTTCGGTCGTGATTTCCAAATGTGATTTCGGCGGACGCGTATTGTGGCAATTATTAGCATTATTTGGCGTGTAATTATATTTATATTTATATTTATATGGCGTCCGTCTAGTGTTTTTTTTTTTAAATTTTGAAAGTTTTCTCGAAGGGAAAAGGGATTCGTGTGTTTGAGTTTCGGATTATTTATAATAATTAGCACGTAATTAGTATCGGGAACTTTTGAAATGTACATAATGACAAGTTAAAAGTCTTTGTTTGCGCGCGTTGTTGTTGCTTTCGTTGCCTTTTTTATGATACTTTGTAGCAATCAACGTAGGAATTAACGTTTTGTCTGTGGCGCGAGGAAACGACATATGGTGATGATGGTGATGATAATGATGATGATGATACTGTGATGACATTAATATTTGGCCTGCTCGTCCCCTGTTGCTTTTTCTTCCAATTAAAAAAACAGTTACAAAGTTGTAATCTCCGTAAAAAAAACACATCCGTGAGGTACTCTGAATATGTACACGTACATACATAGGCATGTACTCGTCTGTGAATGTGTGGATACGTATATTACGCGTACGAGAGAAAGAATAAAAGGAGAGAGAGAATGAAAGAGAGAGAGAGAAGAGAAGGAAAAAGAGTGAATAAGAGTAAGAGCGTGAGAAAGGCAAAGGAAAAAGAGATTACGAGATTATAGTATGCACGTACATGTTTGTGTATGTCCGCGCGTGTGCGTGCTTATGCCAGTGTGCGCGAGATAGAACGTCGTAGTGATTTACGCGTGTAGTGTATGTGGATGCCGCGTGTGTATGTGTGTGTGGATGCGTGCGTTGTTCGTAGGCACGCTCGTACGCGGGTGTGCGTAGCAAATTACGTCATATAGATAGATCATATGTGCTTTCTAATGATGAATAATTTTATAAATATAAATATAATATCTCGATCTCTCACCGTGTACGTTCATTTCGTACGATGAGCTTGTATGTGAACTTCGCGTGTCCTGGAAGGCCCGTTCGCCTTTTATTAAACTGTCAAATAATTTCAACGCTCTTGCTTCTTTCAGTTGGTTCTTTTAGATAGCTTTTTGCGAACATTTGAGATATTCCCTCCTTTCCTTTAATTATCTCAGTTTATGTTGCTTTCAGATCTGCTGAAGACATTCAACGTGATATTTTTATAAATTGCAGATAATCTAATACAAAATATATATTATTTTTTTATTATCAAAATATAAATATCATAATTTTATATCAAATTATATAAATATCATAATTTTATATCAAAAAGTACAGAAATTAAATTTATTAAAATTGAGATTTATATTTATTTTAGATTATTTATTTTTTTTATAGAATATCATTGTTTTATATTTTTTTAAATAATTATCGTTTTATCTCGTTGATAAAGAGAAATAAGATAAGAAAATTCAATTTCTTTTTTAGTTTTCTCATCAATCAGACAAAATTTTATGTTTCAAATTGATAATTCGAGAAATTATTAATATATATCAGTGTTTGATTAATTTATTAAGTGTGTATATCATTGTTTGATATATTTATTCATTCTTATGGTATATGCCATTTATAATTTATCGACATTTTTATGGAAATTTATTTGATAAAAGAAGCGATAAATGTTCTAGAAAGACATCGATTAGCTTATACAAAAAGATCTTTATTCAATGAGATATATAAGATAATAGTTAGAATAGCGATACAACATACAGGTAACATTAATTTAATATATTATCGTATTCTGTAATCTCGTGAATCACGTCGGCAAACGCGATGTTATTGGCAGTTTACAATGGTCGGACGCGACTGATTTTTTATTCTATTTGGCATAAAGGCAGTTATATGGCTTCATGGCAGCCGGCGGCGCTTTTTATCGGGCACGCAGGAAGAGACTAGGTGCATGAACCTTGTGCATAGGATAAGCAGCAGCAACACCGACAAATTCCCAAGAGCAACAGAAGAGTCTAAGATAAGAATGTTTCGAGATAAGCAGTCCAGATCTTGGTTCAACAAGAGTTTCAAAAATAACACACATTTCCCGTTTAATTATAACTTCCGGAAACAAAAATCGATAAAACACTGAGAAATTTATAAAATTCATCGTATACTTTAATGTGTTCTCTAACTAACATTTATATTGTGACACGGTTTCTTCTGTAAATAAACCGAAAGAAAGATTTCTTTGTATTTTTCAAACTCGTGCGTCTGGCTTATCGCAAACTTCTCACTGCTGGTCCCTGGATATTTATATGCGTTATTCGCGTCTTTGTATCCCATGTAAAAGGTTTACGAGTTTAAAGCACCCGACCCGGGATATAACTTAACTAATTTTAAAAAAAAAGAGAGTTTCTCTTGCTTCTTTATATACATAGGCTTGCACGTCACTGATGTTATTTCTTCTCGAGCGTGTGTGCAGCTCGTGTTGCCAATCTACAGAGTGTTGGACGATTCTATCGGTCGTTCACCGTGCCTGCCGCGCACGCGATCTCTTCTACGGTAGTGATTGGGTGGTGGGCGCCTGTGGCTGAGATACCTTTCGCGATTGGGCGGTACGAACGGATAACGGCGTGGCCCGGCTGGATAGCGCCCAGAAATATTGTTGGGAGCACGTTCGTTATTTGATGTGAAGGGTTTCAGGACCGCCGTCCTGCTGTAAGGATCCTCGCTGACGCGTTGGCGGATGCACACAGCGCAGCGGCTCACTCGGGATGTATGGTCGGCCTTGAGCGTCTGTTGCAGCGGTTTGCGGAACATCTCGTCGTCACGGATGGTTGCTAGCCAATATGATGTCGCGGTGGCGAAGAAGTTACAGGTGCCGAGGCCACGGCACTCGATGAACGGCCTGACGCGGAACTCCTCCAAACAGGATCCGGGTGAGACTAGAGATTGACCACCACCATCGGCGCCTGCGTCTCTATGCTGTAATTGAGAAGCGAAAAATTGCATGTAATCATAGTTTCCGCTAAGGAATTCTATTAAAAAATTAGTGCAATAATCGTGATTCAATTTAAGAACTCGGTTAAGTATATCTTGAAATATAGTCTGAGATTTATTTCTCACCATGAGGAAACTGTATCCGACCCAGATTTCCTTCCAGCCACCCGGACACTGGGGTATGGCCATGGATTGACTATGGACAGCTATTACTCTGGTCGGTGCTGTGCACACAGAGCATCTCGATATGTATCTACCAACTTCCGGTGCCGGTATTGGCGTCATCATCATTGGCATGGGCTCGGTTGTGCTAAGCCAATAGCTATAGTCGTTACGATTGGCGTAATCGCATACATTGTTCAAATTGCAGAATAGGAAGGGCATAGTAGAGAACTTTTTGATGCAACTGCCAGCAGCACCTAAATAACAAAAGATTATTGTTCAAATTATACGTATTTCTGTAATATATCATTCTTTATTTAATTTTATCATTTAATCTATTATTCATTATTTAGTTTTAGTATTTTTAAGTTTCAAAAATAATAAATTTTATATATATTTTACAAAAGCAATTATAAAAAATTTTGGTGTCTTAATTTTAGAAAATATTTATGAAAAATAAGTTAGTCATATTTTAAATTTTATGTCAACATGATTAAATTAAAAAAAAGACATGTTATTATGCTTACCGAGATCTTGAGCGTATGGCCGTCCATTACCCATGGTATGTAATAAAGAAAATCCTTCCCACAATTTTACGGTATCTCTTGGACATATTGGTATCATTTCCGATTGTGAGTGACGAGCAAAATAGAAACCTCTGTCGCTTGGACCAATCCCGTTTGGCGCAGGTGCACCAGGTGCGCCAGGAAAACCTGCGAAATTGATTTCCAATTTTATATAAACAAAAAATAATCAACATAAGTTGCTTATAACATTAATTTTCGAGTCAAAAGTAAAACTATCATTCTATATCATAGTTAAATATATACCTGGTTGTCCTTGTCGTCCGGTTATTCCAGGTGGACCTTGATATCCGGGAGGTCCATCTTTGCCATCCGGCCCTGATGGTCCAGAAATACCGATCATACCTCTTTCACCTACTCGTCCAGGCAGACCGTCTTTGCCAGGTTCACCCATCATTCCCTGTAGTCCAGGGAAGCCTGTAGATATCCATAGTATTCTTTTATTGTATTTTCCCAATAATTAAAATATATTATTTTACTCTAGGGAAAATGCTCTAGGTGCAATACCTGGTAATCCGGGAACTCCTATATCACCAGGAGGTCCTTGTCTCGGGAAAGGCGGGAAAGGATTTAAGCCAGCTTCTCCTTTCGGTCCCTATCAGAAAAGCACAAGCATTTAATATTTATAATTTATAATAGGTTAATTTATATCGATTTTTAAATACTAACAATAAGTATATATTATATTTTTGTATTAAATTGACTAATTTGATGATGTAACATTATAACACCATATTAGATTGGTGTACGATATGCATCATAAAGATATATACGCTAAATTGAAATAAGCTAAATTGATGCACATTATTTTGATTCGCACATATTAAATAGATGTACGATATAAACTAAGTTAATAATTTACATTTGCTTTATGCTTATTGTTTGATTTCTGTGTTAGAAGAATATCATGTATTCTGTCATATTTTGTATGATTATTTAATATTAATCATATATAGAATAATAAAAATGTAAAGAAAATCTATCAGAAGATTTCTGTTATATTTTCTTAAATTGCATGAAAAAAAATATATACATATATGTAATTGCGATATTATAATTTGCAAAGCTTACCTGTGGACCGTCAGGACCAGGCAATCCAGGTAGACCAGGTTCACCAGGTTCTCCTCTTTCTCCTTTTAGTCCTGGTTGTCCGTCAAAGCCAGGTAGACCGGAATCACCTTTCATTCCCTTTGGTCCTAGTCGACCATCTAGTCCAGGCCATCCAGGTTCACCGGGTTGTCCTTTCGTGCTACTCCCAGATATTCCCGGCTCTCCACGGAAACCTTTCGGCCCTGGTGCTCCGGGGAAGCCTTGTAATCCTTCCAAACCTGGCATGCCTGGTGTGCCGACGAATCCTCTAGCACCTATTTAGAATATAGAATAATAAATTATAAAGGTTTAAATATTTCTTTCAGAGAAAGATTAAATATTTTTTTTTACAAAAGAATCAGTACAAAAGACAACTGAAAAGAATTTATAGTATTACAAATATTTAATATTGAGAAATGTTAATCACGTTCAAAGATATCAATTTTTATTTTTTGTTACTAAATTTAATATATTAAAGTAAAAAATATATGATAAGTATTGATGATACATGCCTGGGTCTCCCGTAATTCCTTTAGGACCATGAAAGCTATAGCCTATGTCACCAGAAATTCCTTTAGGTCCATTCGGACCATATTCACCAGGTGCTCCTTTTTGTCCGGGACGACCTGAGATACCAGGCATACCATCTAGACCAGCGCGACCAATTTCACCGGGTTCGGGGAATTCACCAGGCAAGCCTATGGCACAAAATTAAACAAATAATATTAACTGAAATAGAATATCACTAACGCGACATATATTAAAATAAGGAACAAGAAAATGTTTTTATAAAATTGGATAATAAAGCATTTTTTAAATTTTCAAACTGAGAAAGAAATTTTGAAATGTTGATTTTAAATTTTCAATTATTAAATTGCGGCTAATACTTTTATATTGTTTTAATTTTTATAAGAGAAAGACAATGGATCATGAAAATTTCTAACAGAATGAAACAGAATAAGAGAAATTAAAACAGAATGAGAGTGTAAAGAATTGGAGAGTCTAAGCATTAAAAGACAATAAATAAACTATGTAATAGTAATGTGAAATTTAAATTATACGAGTTTGCAATATTTAGTATAATTAATTAAATACAAATTTCTCTATACCTGGAGCTCCACGAGGCCCTTGATCACCTGGTAGACCAGGGAAGCCAGATAATCCTGGGAAACCAACGGGACCCGGATATCCTCGATCTCCAACTTGACCCTATATACACAGATGAATAAGTAATTATCTTTTAAAACTTGTAATCTGATTCAATTATAAAATTTACTCACTTTACGACCGGGCAGTCCGATATATCCTGATTCACCTTGTTCTCCTTTCATACCAATAAAACCATCGTAACCTCGATTACCGTAATCACCCTTTTCCGCGAATGCGTAAGATGGTAAGCCAGGTTCGCCCACGTAACCTTTCGGTCCAGGAGCACCCAAGATACCTGGGGCACCTCTTACACCCGGTTCACCCGGCATTCCTGATGCAAAATACTTAAGTTAAATACTTAATTCTTGTATATTTTTATGAAATATATTTTCTATTGTAATATGTGTGATATCAAAAATATACTGATATATCATTTTATTATGTATGCAAAGGTAAAGAATATAATACTCAATATTAATAAAATATATTTGTTGAAAAATATATCAATGAAAAAAATAATTAAACGCTGTGCATGAGTTTTGAGAAAAAGAGAAATTATAAAATATATAAAGATATATTAAAATATATAATTAACTTAAATAAAAAGACACATCAAAACTAATTTACCTGGTCTACCCATTATACCGGGATCACCATCGAGACCGCGTTTTCCTTTCAATCCATCGAATCCAAGAGGTCCAGCCGGACCTCTTTCACCCTTCACGCCATATTTACCAGGTATTCCAGGCAAGCCTGGCCTTCCTGGGAAACCCTGAGCGCCTTGTTCACCCTTGAATCCATCAGGACCCATGTCACCAATTTCTCCCTGTAAAATTATAAATGTTAAAATATAAATTTTCATAATAATGAATCTTTGTCTTTGTAGCTTTTATCAAAATAAAAATTATTCTCAGGTTTTTCATTGCAAATTTTAAGCAACAACAAAATGGTTATATATTTTAAGCAGTTAGCAATATAAATATTTGCATAAATATTTACATAAATATAAAAAAGTAATAAATATTAATTTATTTACTGTTTGTGAGAACATGTATATTAATTTTAAATATTTAATTCTTAAAGATAACTTGTAAAAATAAGCTTTTACGATGTATTTAAATATTAATATATATTTAAAAATATAAGATATACATAAATATTATATAATTATTATAACTTAAAAAAATACGTATTTTGTTCATAAATATTTTTTAAAATGCACTTACTTTTGGTCCCACGCTACCATCGTATCCATCGAATCCAGGTTCACCTTTCTGTCCTGGCAAACCATTGAAACCATCAGTTGATACTCCCGGTTCTCCCGGCAATCCTGGTCGTCCATCGAATCCAGCTAAACCGGGTGGCCCAATTTCTCCCATAAAACCAGGTTCACCAATATCACCTTGAGGGCCACTAAAGGAATTTTCGCCAGGAGGACCCCAAAGTCCTTCGAAACCGGTGTCGCCAATAATACCCTTGAATCCAGGTGGCCCTCTCAGTCCTGGTGTTCCAGGAATTCCATTATCTCCTGATTCTCCTTTAGCACCAGGTGCTCCATCTATACCATCGAAACCAGGCCAGCCGAGGGGGCCTGGCTCACCATTCTCGCCGATTTCTCCTTTTTCTCCTGGAGCGCCCGGTAAACCCTGTCTTCCGTACATTCCTTGATATCCCTGAAGCCCGGTGTCACCGTCATCACCACGTCGTCCAATAAAACCAACTTCTCCCTTTAAACCCTTCATTCCGTCAAAGCCAGAAGGACCATCGGGACCTAAAGATATATATTAATCTTTAAAGTATTGAACATGAAGAACAACTTATTGTAAGTAAATTATAAACATATAATGAAAAATGATATTCAATGAATCAGACTGAAAGCTGAAATTTCATTTTTGATTTATTTTCGAGACATACCACGAACACCGACGTCTCCAATTCTTCCGGACATTCCAGGCAGGCCAAGTATACCCGGAAAACCTCGATCACCTTGTATACTATCTCCACGTTGACCTTTAGCTCCCTAGAATATCCATCAAATAACTTTAATATGATTCGTCTGTAGATATTTAGCAAATTACTATTTTGATAAATATTAATTTTAGTAAATTTTAATAAGAATCTAAAAAGAAAAATGTGTACTTACTTCAAGTCCAGGCAGTCCTTCATAACCAGGAGCTCCTTTAGCGCCTCTGACACCCTTTGGACCATCCTCTCCTGGTCGGCCACGCAATCCTGGAGGACCAGGATCACCAAAATCACCTTTTGGACCATACCAACCGCGTTCTCCAATTTCGCCATAAGTTAGATTTGTGCCTGGATCTCCTCGTTCACCTTTGTTACCAACGCGACCCTGTAATAAATAGATAAATAGATGCATCATTTTGCTTTGATAAATTTTTGTTTCTTTAACGTAATAAAATTACTTTAATAACTAAATTAAAATTATTAATTTTACTTATATAAATAGATTTATAACTGAATTGTCAAAGCAAATATTAAGTGTCTTCAGTTTATATTTACTGCAAAACCAATTGGTCCTTGCGATCCAGGCGAACCTGGTGTTCCACGAAGTCCTTGCTCTCCCGGCATTCCGGGATATCCTTTCAAACCACTAGGACCTTGCCGTGAAATACCTGGAGAACCCGGTTCACCAGGTAATCCTGGTAGACCTTCATCACCAACATGTCCTTGGAAGCCTTTGAAACCAAATTCTCCTACGGGAATATCGCGATTTTTTTAATTTTAACTTTATTCCATTAATTGTATTAACTTTATATTTATTTGTAGAAATTATATTTATATATTTAATCATACAATTTCCGAAGAAAATTTTAAAACAATTGATATCAGTCATAAAATATAATATTATTATCTTATTTATATTAATAGTATTTTAACGTACCAGGAGATCCTATAGCACCTTTGTAGCCCTTGTCACCTTTACTGTCTGCGACGTATTCTGAGGCTTCGCCAGGTTCTCCCTTGTTACCGGTATCTCCTTGTATTCCTTTTATTCCGGGCTCTCCCGGATAGCCTGGATCTCCGCGTAAAACCTCAATTGGTACCGAAGCATCCTCACCTTTTTCACCAGGTATGCCATCCCATCCCGGCGTGCCATCCCTTCCTGATAATCCAGGTGAGCCATGTTCACCCTATAGATTATATAATATCATTGAATTGAAGCAAATATGAGAAAATTAATCAACAACTAACAATGAAAAACTTTTAAATTATTCTAAAATATAAATCCTATCATTTTTAAATAGCTATACTTAAAAATAAACCTTTTCTCCTTTTGGTCCTGGTGCACCTGTGTCACCACCAGGTCCCGGTTGTCCTCGTAGACCTCTGAGTCCTTCGGGACCGGGCAAACCTTTTTCACCAACATCACCCGGTGGACTCACAATCTGCTCGTCTCTCGGGAAGAATATCTTTCCCGGTTCTCCTTTAGGTCCTTGTATTCCCGCAATACCAGATCTTCCACTGTCACCTTCAAGTCCCGCTGGTCCTAGTGAACCTCGCTTCCCTTGTATTCCCTTGAATCCTCGAGGACCTGGTAATCCAGGAAATCCCGAAGCTCCAGGATATCCGTCTAAGCCAGATTCACCGCGTTCTCCTTTCTCCCCGGGTAGACCTATGCAATTAACAGAAAATAATTTTCTTAAAGATGTGCTAATTTATATCAATTGAAATATTCTTCTTCGTGCAAAAGAGCAATTCTTTACTAATATAAATTATTTTTTACCTGGTGCACATACGCCACAATCATCTCCTCGAATACCCTTTCCACCTTTAGTGCCAAATAAACCAGGCCAACCATCGGGACCAGGAATACCCGGTGTTCCGGGCAAACCTCGTTCTCCAGGCGGTCCACGAATTCTTATACCTTTCCCGGGGAAACCTTTCTCTCCTGTTTAGCAAATTACAATACAGTTATAGTAAATGAAAATGACTTATATACAAAATGTATATATAACAAGATTAATAGAATGATAGAGATAAACCTTCGTGAACTTATTCGTAAAATAATAAATTCTTTTTTTTTAATTTTGGGTATTAATAGAATCTCTAATATATATAAATTATATCTCTATCAAATTTTATAATTATTTCTATGAGATTTTGATTTTAATAATAGTTCTAATAATAAATATATAACAAATTTACCTGGAGGACCAGGATCACCGCGATCGCCAGGTGGACCTGATAATCCTGGCAGACCCGGATTGCCGTCTGGTCCTGATGGTCCAATTATCGTTACGCCTGGAAATCCCTTGGCTCCTACAATTCCGGATAAACCGGGTAGTCCGGGAGATCCCTGAGGTCCCATGGGTCCCGATAAGCCTGGAATAATTCATAAATGATCAAAAATTATTCTACATAATATTTTTAAACAGTTCATTATGTCGACAGAAATGCCACAATCATTTACCATCATCTCCTTGTTCTCCTTTTATGGACGAACCCTTCACTCCCGATAAACCAGGAATACCAGGTGGTCCTGGTGGTCCTGGTGGTCCTATAAAACCGACCTTTCCTGGAAAACCTGGTGTTCCTGATTCACCTGGTTCACCAGGAGGACCTGCAAAAAAACAAATTTCAAAGGTTATTTTTAACTAAGAATAGGCTTCTTTTTAGGAAATATTATTTTAAAAAATATTATTAATTTTTTATTAATAATAAGTTTTTAAAATATATTAATAATTAATTACTAAAATTTATACTAATATAAATGACAATAATATATATTCTGAAATATTTTTGTGACAAAAAAAAATCATATCTGTACTATGTACTAACCAAGATCTCCTTGAATTCCGATATTTCCGGCGATTATTTCATCAAGTTCCGGAATATACTGTCCAAGTTCTCCTTCGGCTCCTTGTCTGCCAGGTGGACCGCGATTACCTTCTTCTCCTGGTTCACCCTTTATAATAATAAAGCAGTACACCCAGTGAGAAATGACAAGTCGGATAGACGTTTGTTAGACGTCTAAGATGTCTAATAAACGTCTATGGGACATCTATTAAACGTCTTAGACATCTATTCGACTCATCATTTCTTACTGGGCAATAATAATATCGTGCTAATGTATATTAAATAATCTGTATAAACGCTACATTTAATATTATACACAAATTCTATTTAAATATTCATTGGCTAATTTGATTTCGATTAGTAAAAGTCTTCGTACTAGCTACAAATATGTCAACATTACCTTTTTGTTATACATTTATATATAGTATGTAATGCACTTACATCGAATCCATCCGTACCAGGCAATCCAGCGAAACCTGGAGCTCCTTTCTCTCCTTTCTCACCAGCCGGTCCTGGTGGGCCCTCGATACCTTGTTTACCTCTTGGCCCATCGTCACCTTGCTCACCTTTCACACCTTTGATGCCCAAAAAACCTGGTCGGCCCTATATCAGGAATTTTATTTAAATGTCACAATATTTAACTAAAATATTTCTTTTAAAACTATATATTTTATATCATCAATAAAATTTTGTTTTTCATAAATATATTTTTTTTAATCTTTTTATTGAAAAGACAATTTTTTGATGGTAAATATATCGACAAATAAATCGACTTTATGATTTAGTATGATATAATCACCTGTGGACCTTTGGCACCCATCTCTCCTTTGCGATTTCGTTCACCATAATCACCCTTCATGCCTTTCGGTCCTGGTGGACCTTTCACAGGCGTCGATTTCTCTTTCTTCTTGTATTCATCCTTACCTGGTGAACCAGGCTCTCCCCTGTCTCCTTGTTCACCAAGTGGACCCTTCAAACCGTAAACAGTGTCACCGCGATCACCTTGCATACCTGGCAATCCAGGAGGACCTGAGAAACCCTAAAAAGGAAACATAGATATACAAGACAAATGTCTTGTTAATATAATTCATTTATTTTATTAAAATGAAAAGAGTTACATTTTAATAAAAATATTTTATTATCATTATTTTAAGAGAATTGCATTTTAACTACTATTATTTAATATAAAATAGTATAATGTCGAAATATATTTTTGAATACGTCAAGTATCGTCTTCCTTAAAAATTAGTATTCTATATGTCAAAATATTTGCAGTTAATATTTTCTATCTGTGCTATCAGATTATTTAATCAAGTCTAAATTCATCGAGAGATTTACAGTCGAATGATACTTTCGAGACACCCGCTATACTTTGATATAGGTCTATCTATATATTGTATACGCATTACATTGAAGTTATATCTAGCGTGGCAGAGCGTAAGTGCATGTATTATGAATCCATTATAATGCTAATTTAAATGCACGTCCTGGTCCATCCCTGTTTATTTTTAATCCCAGCGCGTAATGTGTGTACTATCACACATGTACTTGCGAAATTATTTTGATCGATAAGAAGCATTTGATGCATCTCGCTCTCATTAATATACAAATATATACATTTGGAAACTTGAAACTATTTTTTCCAAAATTCTTATCATAATTATAATAAAGATTAAAATATTTCATGTCACATGGTAATATTAATATCAAAAAAATTATTAAATGACATCTTATGATTGGAACATTTTTTCTTTCTTTGATCATCTTTCAAAATTATAATATACGTAATTATAATAATCTAAAATGTTATAAATCGTTTGAAAATTTGCTATTACGCGAATCTTTATTGAATGAAAAAAAAACAAGTCAAACAGACATTTAAAAAATGAATGCTAAATGATTCATTCTTTCTTTCGTCACGAAAGAAACGATAGATTCGTCAACGTAATTTGCCGAATTTGCTTCGTTTATTCGGGAGAAAGGTGCCGACTCAAAAAATTCGTGCCATCGCCATTAAAAAATTACTTATGCGATGGCGGCGCGATTAACGTTAATGAGGGAACCGGTTCTCGGTAATCGATTGTCTTCTTTAGCGGCGTGAGCTTTTGTCGATTTTTGCCGGGGGTCAAGAAGGAGAACCAGAGATTCTCGGAAGCCGGATAGAATCTCCTCTTCGTCATCTCGCATGTGAAGAGACAGCTCTCGCGCTATCAGCGACAGTCGTGTCAGCAGATAACAGCCGGGCGCGACGTTTCGGATTTCAACGGATCGTTTCGTATTTAACGATTAAAATGCGAAGGCCTCGCATATTTGAACATACTTTCCTTCTTTTATTCCTTTTAGTTTCCCATTTTTAATATCGCTCTCGAAAGCTGCTACAATCAAAGCTACTTTCGCGCTACAAAAATGTGATGAAAAAGACATATCTGTTTGCCATTTCTAGTATCGATTATTAATTATAGTGGAAGAGAATTTAAGAGAAATAAAATTCTGATAAAAATTTTTTGTATACATATAAAAAGATTGATAGCTAAATAATTTTCCTTGAACGAACTAATTAACACGTATCGACCAATGAGTGATAATGAAAATTGCGAATGCGATAATAGATAGAATTATTTGGTACGTGAATTGCCGTTGAAAATATATTCTCTATTCATACGGGAAAGCTGCGAATCTTGCAATCGCGAGAAGAGTCGTCATTTGCTTCGCTAATAAGTTATGTCAAGCAAATTACAAATCTTCGCTTCCTACGTGCGGCACCGAAAGTAGCTGATAAGTAGCAAATAGTATCGTATAAGTATCCACGTAAACGCCCCCAAAGGGACGTTAAACCTTCCTCGTCAAAGGAATACGACATGAAATGCAACATCGAACGTGTAAATTCAACTTTACAGACCCGAAGCTGGAATACTGTGAACGCAAGTGGTGCAGATGACTTTCGAGAGGCCATCATGCCCATGTTATATGCTTTAAGTATCTCGTAAAGTTTCTACTTTCGTTACGACTCGAAATACATCGTATATTATCATATTACTGTCATAATGATTTATTTCTTTTAAATTGTTAACTTATACATATATATTCTTTTTAAATAAATTATCTATCTATATCTTCTATTCGATTATAAAAGTAGCCTATGGGAGCGTCTTGTACTATTTCCTTCTTCATCTGATACTTAAAAAAAATTATCTATCTTTGGGATACAAGTGTTATTAGTAACGTGAAGATCCGCTTCGATCGGTGTCGTTTTTTCATGTAAAGCTTATATGCATTTGGGACTTCAAAGACAAGCTTTTATCTCGCAGCGTGTGTAAGAGGATTCCTGGGAGCACTTATCACTTGATATCGCGGCGCTTGAGATTCTTTCCGTGTCTCTTTACCCAATAGCAGTTAAATATTGCCGGGGAATACTTTGGTTGGACGATATTTCATGCGAGCAGGTGGCGTCTCGCAAAAAGAGGAACGAGAAACATCCCGAGCGGGTTCTTCTCATCCTCCCTCCTCCGCGCACTTCGAGAACCTACCTAAACGTTCGCGCAAAGTTCACCGGACTCCCTCGAGTCGGCACCGATCGACCGGTGTATTACGGTACCTTAAACAAACCGACAGGATATATAGCGTGATCCTGTTATTACTTACGAAGTCGCCCGTATCACCTGGATAGCCCATTTCACCGGTGAAACCCCTTTGTCCTTGATAACCCTGGAAATGTGATCACATGTTAGAATCATACCAGGGTTTATATCTGGAATGATTTCTGGAAAAGTATTATATATATATATATATATACTATTATATATATTACTAAATAATAAATATATATATATTACTATATATAATAAATTAAACGAGAGAGTTTCTCCAAATACATACTTAATTTTCGGAGTTAAATTACACGATTTACATTAAAAATATCATCTGTCAATCAATAAACAAATTGAACTTTTTAATTGAAATAATTTATTTATTTTTCAGTTTAATTTATTTATTGTTTTTCAATTTAATTTATTTATTGTTTCATGAAAATGTTATTATTCATCAAAGCAATAAATATATATATATATATTGCTTTGATATAATTTATTGATATTATTTATTGCTTTGATATAATAACATTTTCATGAAACAATAAATAAATTAAATTTAAAAACAATAAATAAATTAAACTGAAAAATAAATAAATTATTTCAATTAAAAAGTTCGATTTATTGATTGACAGATGATATTTTTAATGTAAATCATGTAGTTTAACTCCGAAAATTAAGTGTATGTATTTGGAGAGACCCTCTCGTTTAATTTAATTCGAATTGGCGCATGCTAATAAATGATTCGAACTTTAATAGCGAGTAACCAAGGATAATTGCATCAATAATCGTTGCATGATTACGCGATTACGTAATACACAATATTATTAAATCGATATTTCAATTTTTAATTTGTTTTAGTTTAATGCAAGCGAGGGAGCTAAATTGATGTCAAACGATGAAAATAAATGTGTCATCGTATTAGTTATTTATTTTTGGATGATGTAATATTGTCAGAGTACAGTTTTATTAATCGATTATTAATTGATAATGTTAAACAGGCTCTTACCTCCAGTCCGTTGATACCGGGATTCCCGCGAATACCCTTGGCACCGACTGAATTGATACCTCCGTCACCAGGCTCTCCCGGAGGACCATAATCTCCCGTAGCTCCGATCACACCGCGCGGTCCGAAAACTCCTGGCATACCAGGTGCGCCGGCTCGACCATCCGTCCCGTTGCATCCGTCCAGTCCGTCCGGACCCACCACACCGAGTATACCAGGATTACCCTGAAAAACGTTTACTGTGATACCTCTGAATAATTCTTTCTTTCGGAAATGTGCATAAGATTTTACGATTCTATTCTTTATTTACACACAAAAAAAATTTTGATGATACAGAAAGAAATAAAAAAATGTAGAGAAGTTTTTACCATTTTTTCTGCTATTTATAGAATAATTAAATTAATCGAAAATCGATTAATTTAATTATTTTATAAATAGCAGAAAAATCGATTAATTTAATTATTGAATAGCAGGAAAAATGATATGTGCTTTTTTAGGAGCAATATATATTTAATATAATTATTTTTGAAAACATGAATGAAAAATTTCTGGTTTTATGTTGCCCAATGTACTCACTAGTAATATAATATAAATGTACAATAGGATTGGAGTAGAGTGTGAAATTGCGTAGTACTCAATTATTAACAAAAAGGGAGAATGGAATTCTCTCTTCCTATTTCTTTTGCGGACTTTAATCTAGTTTCGAAAGGTAGTAAAACAATTTATATACGTACGGAAAGTCCAGGGACTCCCACAAATCCTCGTATACCTTCGTCCCCCTAAACAAAGGAAACAGAAATTAAATGTATAATTTTTTATAAAGCTTTCAACAGGATTCCAATATATATTGCTAACATACATTATTAATGAAAATTGTTTATCATGTTAGAATATAAAGTTAAGAATCATTTCAATCGTCTATTACAAATAATGCAATCTTGTATTTTTATTCATCTAAATATTTAATATAAAAAATCCGATGGAACTTTGAAAAAGTTTCGTTAATTATAATTTATTTTACAGCATAATACGATTTCCTTGATCAATTTAATATTTATATTATAGATTTTAAGCGCTTTTGTAAAGCTTAATAGTTCCTCTTCCTGTCAAGTTTCTTCTGTGAAATCGATCCCTATTACCCACGCGATTAATTACAATTAAAGCCATCGTCGCCGCGTTCAAGTACATCTCACGACGATTGCATTATTGCAATTGTGGTGACGATTGCATCGTATATTCTTGATCCGAAAGAAGGTTGTCCGAGTCGCGCGACATCGCTGTTGCAATTCGAGGAGCGTGACTGCATTCGCACTCGCAAGTGTCAAGATCGTAAAAGTGCGAAATGCGTATGAACATCAGATACATGTGTGTGTGGAGAAGAAACGCGCATAAAACACACATAAGCGCATCGCGCTCCGCAAACGTTCATCATGCTCAATTCGTGTTGGTTAAAGGGCGGCGACGCAATTACATCGACACGTTCTCTGCCTAATTAATGATGCGTCGAGGCATTTTCTCCTCCGGTTGTTTGCATATCTCTCATCGCGTAACATAAACCGAGAATTATCTCGTAACGGAAATTCTCTGGATATAAAACTGTCTTCAACGAAGAATTGCTTGTCAACTTTTGACGTTTGACGAAAATTTATATGCGATTTATATGCGATTTGTATGTGATTTATATTTTTCGATACAGGTAAAATTAATTAAACGTATAACGATATATTATAATAATTAAAGATATTGAAAAATATAAATTATTTTGAAAGAATAATCAAGGAAGAGAGATAGAAAAAAAACGTATGGCGATATATTATAATAATTAAAAATATTGAAAAATATAAATTATTCTGAAAGAATAAATCAAGAAAGAGAGATAGAAAAATACGTACATAATATCTGTATAAAAAATAAATAAATGAATACATAAATAAATAAATGTTATATATCAATTCGCATAAAACTCTGGAAAGCGAAAAAGTCGACTAAAAAAGCGAAACTTGTATCCATAAAAAGATTCTTACGACACTTATATTAATCTTCTCGAAAAATACATTTGTAACCGATGTTAAACAGACAAATTTTGCATCTTCTCGTCAATTTTTTTTTGAGTTGTTACTTTATGCATATATTTGCGCTGGATATTCGCAATTGTTTCGTATATTACAACATTATTTGTTCTCTTTGAATTTTAGCAGTCATCGAGAGTTCAAGATTTTATCTGAATCTCTTAACAAAAATTTCATTGCAAAGATTTCACCACAAATACTCTCGACCAACAGAGAAAGTTTATCAAACAAAATGCAATTGGAAAAATTTTATGCTGTGTAAAGTAATAAAAATTAAATTTTAACACATGCCAGTTGTTTTTGTTAAATTATTTTATTATTACAAGCAATTTTTTATCTTTATTTAATTATAAATCAATTATTTTATAAAAGTCTCTTTTATAAAATAATTTTATAAAAATTAATTTTATTTTATAATAATAATTTTATAAAAGTTTCTTTTATAAAATAATTGATTTTCTTCTAAAAGATGTTATTGCTTTACTCATGTAAAAGCAACGGTTATTGATAAATAAATTTTAAACAAACGATAAACACATTATTTTGGGTTGTTATATAACACATATAGTGGCTTTTAAGTAGCTTATACGATAATATTATAAGCTATCATATTTATAAGCTATCGCACATATACGTTATATAATATAAATATAGTACTTTATAAATATTGTTTATACATTTGCAAAAATGTGTAAATCATGTTGTAATATATTTTGCATCATGTTTTAATGATACGAATTTTCTTGATATTTTTTTCAAACTTTGCGGGCATCGACAATTTTTTCTATTTTTGTTCTTTACAAGCTTATCGTCGGACGACTTTGCTTATCGCTATTAAGCATGTATAATATCCTCGTATCAGTTATCCAAGCGCCAGCAAAATAGGATGTTCATTATAATTACAAACAATATTATTCTATTTCATTAAATTAATTATAAACTAAAAACTAGTAAATACTAAAAAGAAAAATAACATATAAGAGAAGGAAAATATAAATCTCCATTACATTTGTAGTAGAATAAATTTATAATAATATTTAATTGTAAATATATCGATTGTCTTTGATTGACATTTTTGTAGCAAAGATGACACGTAAAATAATTATTATCATTTGATATCGGAATTTAATAATATGGAATCATTACTAAAAGACCTTAACATATTGAATTTCAGAAATATCAATATATTGAATGATACATATTGGATTATTAAAATCTTTATTATTACTATAATAATTAAAAATAAATAAATGACTTGTGCAAGATATTTTTACATTTAATCGGGAAGCTCAAGATTTGTTATATTCAAATAGTTTCTGATTGACTGCAATATAGCGAGATTATATTATGTTGGAACGCAATATATGAAACCTTTTAATCCGATCAGACGCCAATGCTGATCACGCATACGTCTACGCATAAATGCGTAATGTACACGCGTAACTTGCGTTCAAAACGAGCGTCCTTATCGGTTAACCTCTTGCGTAAGATGTAAGAAACGTGTGATCATAAACGCTATAACAGCCAAGAATAAGAATTGGCAATTACACAGTTTTCTTTTATGTGATGTCAAAAGCCACGTTATAAAAACGATACTTGTTGTGCATCGTGAAAAATAATATAATATATGATATTATAACATATATTTAATCATGAAAAGACATTTCTATAAAGATGAAAGAGAGAATAATAGACTATGTATTTAATTCGAATAAATAATTGGAAGATACGTTAGTTAAAATCTCGTGTCTCGTGAAAACTTGATGAAATATATATTTTTCGGTATAATATATTCATAAGTCAAAATATGATTGTGTTTGAAACAAGCTTTTTTATGGCGATGGACGGGATATGCTGCTTTCCATTTATGGGCAGACCCGATACAAAATCGACTCGAGATGCCTTTTAAAGGCCCGGTATTGATTGGATAGTGTGTATGTATTTATGCATATGACGAAGGACGAACTCCGTTATGAACATGCTCAAGTCGAACATTGTATTCATAAGTGGGATGCAACGAATGTGCGAGATGTCGATGTCTTCTTTTTCAGAAGAAAGCCATCATGTTTTCGTAAAATTGACACGAGCCGCTAACGTAATAATCAAAATTCCAGAGGCGCAACTCGAAAGTGTATAAAAAATATTCTTTTAATTTTATATAAGATATATATCCTGTTTTCATGTTTTCTTTTTATTATTTATATTTTATTATTTATATTATTTATATATTTTTATTATTTATATTTTATTATATTATTTTTATTATTTATATATTTTTATTATTTTATTATTTATATTATTTATATTATTTATAGATGGATTAAAGGATATTAAATTAAATTAACGCGGATATTATTTCGATTATTTTGGATTTTAAAGCCGCAGGATAAAGTTGGATGTGTACGAAAGAGAGATAGCGAGAAAGAAAAACAAGAGGAAAAGGAGATACTGTCAAGGGAGACATTGCACGTGCCAGAATATACCGCAGAAATTTCGAGGAGAAAGGATAGACAGAGCGGATATCTGAATATGAGATCACATGGACATCCGGTTTCGAGAGTGAGACGAGTTCACAAAGCGACTTGTCAATGGGAAGTGCGTTATCAGGGCGCGCGCGCGCGCGCGCGCGTAGTGCCTCATCCTCCCTTTTCCAGTTCTCAACTTCCAGCTTTTGTCCTGCTTGATCTCCGACGGTTTCGGGACGACCTGATTTTTTAACGAACGTGAAAGTCCCGGAAAGTAGGTCGTGATGATTAACTTAAAGTCTGTTCCGAAGAGAACGAGAGAGATATAAATAATATAAATGTGTCACACACACACATATATAATTTTATTTATCAAAAATATATGATTTTCATTTTAATTGGAATCGATTTTATAGAATTATTGATTAGTGCAGCAATTTATTCACACAATAAGTTAAGGTGTTTCAGGCGAAAAAAGCTAATTATAGGAATTTTATCGCTATACGAGCTGTTCTAGATAATATTTTATAAAATATTCCGCTAGAAAATCAAAAGCTTGTCGTTTAATAATTTTACGATAGAAATAAAAGAAAAGAAATGTATATAAATAATATAAATATATATTATGATTTTACATATCAAAAATACACCTAGTGAAATATACGATTTTCAGTTTAATTGGAATTGATTTCGTACAATTATTAATTACAGCCATTTATTTAGACAATAAGCTAAAATATTTCACGCGAAAAGAAATTATTAAAGCAATTATTTATAATCACTGTTCTAATTTTGAGAGAAGAGCTTTAAAAAGCATAAAAAATTATTTTACAAATATAACATTTCCACATAAAATTAAAATCGGTCTGTTCGTCAATAATTTTGGGACGACAGAATTTTGCACGGAAATCATTTCGCCAAGTGTAAGATGACAGTTCTGTCCAAACTCCACGCTCGATGACAGACCGGAAACGCGTTTCACCCCCGCATTTTACGATATCAAGAAATGGCAAGGAATGCGTAGGACTACAACGCGTGTATCCGTTTTGTGGCCGTTATCGGTGCGCGACTTCCCTTATCAGTGCGTGAAATGCGGCGACAAATTTACAATGAATCGAAAAGCAGATGCTGGTTGTCGATACATCATCCTCGCGAATGCTGATCCTTCGCTCGATGTTAACTTTAGATTCTAAATATAAGCTTCTATTGCGTCCATTGAGAAAAATCCTAATTGTTGAAAATAAA